AATTTATATTTATTGCATGAAAATATTCTTAAGTCTCTCTGCAGATTATATCCTACATGAGCACACAGTGTTTGGGCTCTAGATAACATTTTTCAGTGTGCCTAGCTGAATTGTGTATTACAGTCAAAAATTTATGTAAAATGCATTTCTTAATTACATTTCAATATTTCCAGTTGATATTGTCTGAATACTTGATCATCTAGATCCTGGTTGCTGTAAAAAAAATATTTCTTAGTTATAATAAATAGTCTGTTTTACTTGTCATTTTTGTGAGCTTCTGTAAAAAAATCCATTCAGTTCCCAAAAAGAAGCCTTGATTTTTATAAATCCAGAATTTCCAGTCCTGTTCTATTTAATCTAGGTGTAACAAAAACGTCATTGCTTGCTGCCTAGCAAGTATGTCACCATGTCCATTCTCAATTAGCAGACTAACGGTTCTTGAGGTGACTGTGATTCATTTAAGGACCTGATTTTTTTAAGATAAATCTGACTAGTTGGTAGTTTTGTAAACGTGGATGGCTGTGCACGGGGTGTGTCTATTGAAGGTTTCGATTTGTGAAGTAGTAAAGCCAATGTAATTTCAGTTTTTGTGTTTCTTGAATTGGTTGTAGGAGAATATATAGTTACACTCTATGGAAGTCTTCTGCTGAAATTAGTATCTGTAAGTCACTGTAAAATTTTTCAGTAGGCATATGGTGCTTTTCTTTGTGCTTATGTTTAGTTCTGTTTGTTGACCCCTGTCACTCGATTCAGCAGTATCATATGGTTACCAACATACTCCTTAACAGGAGTAAAGAAGCAAGAAAAAATAAATATGTATATAATTATAACTTTTGTGACTCTATGAAGTCTCCTAAAAGAAGAAAAAATGGCCAGTCCCTTACTTGTGGTTATGAACTTGCACACCAGGGTGCAGACAGAACTGAACACATCAGCTTCTAGTTTAAGCAAACCAGGAGCAGCTCCGCTCCAGAAATGCTGTGTTTACCTCCAGAGCCATGTCAGCATGCTTCACTCCTAAGGCAATTCAGGAGTGTGAGGGTGTTGGAGACATGGCTGTAAACAGTGTGAGGTTTCAGAGGTCATGTCGGTTTCAGGGCATCAGTCCCAAATGGGGTGTTGACAGGCAACCTATGGAAAAATCCAGTTTCCATGCTGTGCCCATACACTGCTGCCTCTCTGCTTATTGCATTCATATTTGTGAATTTCTTGGTGCAATGTCTGGCTGTCTCTACATCAGGTTTTAGTACGTGAGCGTGGTCAGAATCTTTTTGTAGCTTCTTGACAGTTATTATTGCTGGAGTTTTATTAGATTTCCTAGCACTTGTGTCATAGCATATTTGATACGTTGCAAGATATCTGGAGTAACTTAGTCATAAGTTATTTGGAGAAGCATGTTCAGAGAGGCCTTTAGGTTAATTATCATACCAGCTAGGTTGTAATTTTAATGAGGAAAAAGGGTTATGCCTGTATGTTAGGCTGAGGAAGGCTGTGGCTTGATATAGAACTTCTGTCTGCATTGCCTGATTTGCTTTGGGCTGCCCTTGTGTGAGGAGTAGCCTAAAGATTTCATGTGGCTTCTATGTAGGGGGGCAATTTTTTCCAAGGTCTATGTACATGTGTATGTCATTGTGCTCCCAGACACAAACACAAAGGATTTTTCTTGCATGGGATAGAAAGACAGAACTTCTTCCTTGAAAACTTATTGCCCTCTCCAGACCCTGAAATGGATTTTAACCAGTCAAATATAATTCTGGGGAGTTTGATTCCCAACCCCACCCTGTTTATCCTAATTAATAGTGGTCAAGGTGCTGTAGGAAGCTTTTTGCTGATGTTAGGAATACCTGCCCCTAACTTTTGGCTGTGATTTGATCAAGTGCTGACTCTCATAGCTGAAATCAAGGGCAGCCTGCTTTGATCATAAAATACTCCCCATTTTATAGCTCTTTAGGAAATAACACCTGAGGGCTTGCACATGTTTCCTTGGCAGGTAGTTTCTGTAGTTTCTGCCAGGTTTTACTGCACCTGAAGCAAATCAGTTTGAGTGTAGCTGAGTTTAAGCCTCTCAGTAGAGGAGACAGCAAAATGCTTGATGATCATTTCATATTGGGACCCCCCAATTCTCTTATGTTGAGTTGCCACACTGGCTAAATGTAAAATAAGGACAACACTATTTTTGAAACACACTCAAGTTTGTGGACCATAAAGTGCTCTGGTGAGAGCTGCCAGAGAGAGCTGTCTTGTCTCTTGTGAGTGTCCTGTGGCTTCAGGCTGCACTTTGAGGAGTTTGTGGCAAATGATGCACCAGGCTGTGCCAAGGACCATCAGACAAGATTTCATTTGGTGACCTGCATCTGTTTTGTGTACTAAACAAGGCAATAGCCTACAGAAAAAGTGTCATTGTACAATCACATACTGTCGTTGTGGTTACAGGTAAGGGAATCCCAATTATGATCATACAGACAACATTTTGCAACAGAGGACTTTGGTTTTCAGAAAATGAAACTACTTTTCTCCTGGATTGTGCTGGTGGCCAGGCTTGCCTTTTTGTGACAGGAATTTTCAACTGAAGCACCCACTTCCTGCTATGTCCTCTGTTCCTTTAGGAAGAGGCATGTTCACTGTATTATGGGGGAATTCCTTCTTTCTTCCCGTTGTGCAATCCCTGCAGATTTATCTCATATTTGATTAACAGCATGGCTTCTGACAAAGGAAATATTGGTAAAACCAGGATTTTTAAGAACTTTACAGAAGCTGATCATACTTCATGTGTTCTTGTTCGTAATTTAGATAGTTATTGTTAATATAGTTGAAGAAGTTGACAGTCACAGATATAATTCCTATTGGTAAGCTGGGGTTATTGCCCTCATGGGGACTGACAACACACTTTTGCAGAATCATTGTTTTTGGATCATCTGTTGCTTGTTCAGAGTCCATGACTAATTAGCTTATAAAAAAGTCATTGAGCTAATATCTTATAGAGAAACCTGTGATGTCAGATTTGATCCCCTAATTGCTCTTATAATTGGTGTTTATTGGAGCTCTCACAAGTCAGGGCTACAGACCTCATTTGTTTTATGTAGAATGTTGTAAAAACAATTGAACTGGCAGCTGATTACAGTTTTCTATTCAGTAAGCAGTTTTGGAAGACTGTGGGCTAGACAGTTGTCTGATTTGCCTAGGTTGTAAAAGTTAAATGTAAAGAGAGATGAATTTTCAGCATATGGCTCTGTGTTAGCAATTACATGCATTAGTGGTTTAGCTGGTGTATTGTGTCTGCTTTATAAATGTTTATATTGCAGCCTTCTGCTAATAGATATTGATGACAGGCAGTGTTTGGAGGCCCAGTGTATGGCAGTGGTAATTAGTTATGGCCCAGTAATGATCCATCTACTTGTGTTTGCGAGCATATCCAGTTCTAACCCATGTGGAAACATCAGCTATTCTGTTGTTCCCTAATAATTTAACACAAGGTCATTGTCAGCAGGGATGTAAATGTTTAACATTTCATATTGAGCATATTCAAGTTTTAGAACTCTTTAAGCATAAGTGAGCCTGGAAATAAAATTATGCTGATGCTTATGTAAACCTTGTCTTATTAATTCTAAAATTGTTTGGAATGTTTTTGATGGCCTAACTATGTGTGTAAAGGAAATATGCAGTCTTTGTCTGCTCTGAAACTACAGAGAGCTCTGTGGTGAAAGGCAACTTTGAAATGTCACGCTCCTGTCAAGAGAAAAATAATTAATTGACCCTTGTCCATAAAAATTGGTAGGAGAATTGCACACTTCTGACCAGTCTCTGGATCTCATGTCACAAAAGTGTGAAGGATGTGGTAAGTTTGAATTCAGCTGTGATGGGTGTTTTGGCACCAAAATATTTAACTTTTGCCATATGGCTTCTCTCAAATTCTGTACTTCTTTCTCAGTTGCACATCAGCTCTGAACAGCATGGGGTTTGTGGAATGATCTCTTCAAGCTGCAGACACAAAAATGAGCTTTTTTTCAAGTATTTGTCAGTTAGAGACAGTCTTCTGGAATTGTTGACATAAAATTTTTGTAATTGTAACAATGAATGTCTAATATCAATGAAAAGAATAAATGAAATATTTCTGGTGGCATTCATCCTGAAACCAAAGCACAATTAGCAAGTAATTAACTGTCACTGTTATGCCTTTGCAAGGCTTTACTGGCTGGATCCCAGAAATACTGACTTTTCCTAGTAGTGAAAAAGATCAAGGGCTTCTTTTGGATGTTGAGTTCAGGTGGCAGAGAACAAATTCCTGTGACAAGTGTGAAAAATGACCTGTGGACTTTATCCCAGGCACATAAACCCACAGAGCAAGAACTGCTGAGCTTTTCTGTGCCCACAGTGCTGTGGTGAACATTTCACTTTTTGCACTGGAAAGCTTTTAGTTTCTCTGGGGATGTTGATACATTTTTTTTTAACATGGACCTCTTCAGGTCACTGAAAATTCTTTTCTGTTTTATTTCTCCACATTTGAAAACTTCAGAGGAAATATATCTGCTTATGAAAACTTGCATTTTAATGTGTAACAGTTGGGAAAAAGTGCACTTGATGAGAGTATTCAACACTTTGTGCTGTTTTTATACACAAAGCCTCTGTACTAGACGTGATAAAATTGCTTAAAGAAGGCACTTAAATGATTTATCATAAGATCTCATAGGAGCCTTGGAAATTCTTGGGACAGTTGTAGTGGCTATGTCTCCCAGAGAACGCGTCCCCAAAATTCTTACATGTGTTCAACACTTGGGAGTTAATTAGTCTTTGGCACTGGCAAATTTTTCTTTTGTGTGTTTAAAAAGGTTCAACTGTACCTCAAACAATCTCTTGGTTCATGTTTGACAAATTATTAGGCCAGATAAACTTGATGTCCAAAGTATTGGCAATCTGTGCAAGTATGGAATGAAATTTAAAAGTCGTTTTAAGAGTTACTAACAGTTTAATCTAATGATTGTGATTTCTGAACTTTCTGACAGATACCTTTGAGGTGAGATGCAAGACACGTGGAGAGGAAGGAGCCACTAGATCAGGTTCAGTAATAACATTTTTTAGTTTACTGTATACCTACATTTGATCACATAAATCTGCTTACTAACACAAACAGCTAATCCCTTATATTGTGATCTGATGTCAATAGAGTTAATTCTCCTTGTTGTTGGAACAGAAATATTACAGGAGGTTTTAGTGTGCTGTTTACACAGGGGAAACTCTGTAAACACCTGTCGTCCTTTTGTCATCTAAATACTTCTGTTATCACTGCAGGGCACCTGAAACCACAATAATGTGGAATGGTGAAAGCTAATCTTTATCCTTGATGAGGGCAGTTGAAATCTTTCTATCCAGCACATGTCTGTCAACTTTTATTACTAATTCATGGTTCCTTGATGTGCCTTTTCTTGACCATTATTTATCTCACTTTCACAGGCTGATTGTTTTATCTGTTGCTTTGCTTTTATTTCACTGCTAGACTGGGTTAGATCACAGAGCGTGTTGCTGTAGCTGTCAGTGCTTTGGGTGATGTGTCTTCAGGGTGAGGTTGTCATCACTGCTTTGAGAGAACACAAATCTGCCTTTTTACTGGGTCAGTTTCTTGGGGAAGAATTTAAAAAGTATATTTGTGACCTGCTGTTGGATTTGTTCTGTTGATTTCATGTCCATTCAAGTTATTGCATTCTGACAGAAGGAACCAGTGTCACTGGCCAGGTCAGATGGATTTTGAAATTAGTAGGACTGTGGTTAGGATTTGCTGTAGGATTTTGGTTACTGGTATAAATTACAGGCTCTGTTCTGGGGAGCTGGGAAGGGGGAATGCTTTCTAGAACTTCATAAACAAGTCTATGTGCTGAAGATATACAAGTAGCTAGGGTAGGGATTTGTTCCTGATGGAGTCATAGCAAGACTTACCATAAAACTGTGATATTTTTATTACCTGACTTCCTTACAAACATTTAAAATTATTTTCTCTCAAGAGGAAGCACGATTTAAATCTGAATGGTTTATGTTAGAAGAATATAATTGCATTTTTGATCCAAGGCATGTGATTAAATAAAGGAGTGTGGGGCGAGAGGACAATGTACTCAAATACTCTGTCATGTGCAGAAGTAAACAGCCTGGGCTGTGCTCTCAGAGTGGGGAATTACACTGTGTAACAAGTGATGTTGTTCTGGCACCTGCAAGGCATCATAGCTGAAGTTTCTTAATTAAAATATTTCTGAGAAATAAATCAGAAATAGCTAGATGGTCTGATAGTCTGAGCTTTGGCCTCTTAGGTGAATGAAAATGTTATGGAAAGGGACTGCCAGAGTTTTCAAGTTGTTTTGGATTCATTTGGAGTTTCAGGTTTTTTTTTTTCCTTTTTTCCTTTTTTGGGGCTTGTTTTTAACATAGATAAACCTTGTCTATAAAGAGGTGGATTTTCAAGGCAGAATTTTTGTTTCCAGCCCTCGCCCTGGTGTTTCCAGGCATCAGATTATGTTGGTCTATGGCATAAATAGGGGGCATGATAAAGAACCCAGAAATATGAGTTCTGCAGAATCAGCAGTATGTTGAAAGTCTTCTGAACTTCACATCAGGCTCCTAAAGATGCATTTCAGCTGTGATTGTTGGAGACAGAGAAATATAAATGGGCTCTTTCTGCTGGTGCTTGTCACATGGGACAGTCACTCTTTGTGTAAGAGTCTGTGTGAGCTTCACTTACTTGCTTTTTTTTCTGGCTTTTGCCTTTCTGCCTAAGAATAAAGCCTCAAATTTTAGTACTTGCACTGTGGAAATGGTTAGATACATTTAGTTACAGTGAGCACTCTTCCAGGGTCTTATTTATTGGGACAGAATTAATAGAAAGCTGTTGTTTATATCTATATGCCCTGATTACTCTTACTAGCATGCCAAATATCTAATGAAAAACTGCCTTGTGAATTGTTGGTTTATTTATTTATTTCTTGAACAAAACCTGGTGTGCTGATGTGATCTTATGGTTCCATAGGGTAGGCCAATATACTGTAAGTGGCATTAATCAGAGCTACAGCTCTGTTTTGGTATCTTTAACCCCACCTGTGGGATTAATGCAAGACTTTGTTGTCTTCCCCGCTTCCCATCTGTCTTTACTATTAATTTGCACAGTAATACTGCATGCTTATTAGGTTAAAATTGGAAAGGAAAAAAATCTGTTACTTAAGTTTATAAAAAGGCAAGCACTGTGATTTTTATTTTTTCTTTTTATAAAGTGGTGCTTGCATTTATCTAAGGTGAGAGAAAAAAACAGTGGAGCTTATATGGAATGAAAAAGGAGTTTGAGTCCTTTCTACACATCCAGATGCTCTCACCCTAAGAGAAGCCTTCACTATAATAGATGTAATTTTGTATGAGTTATGTTCATCCTTTGGGATGTCTGGGTGTACTAAAGCATCTTTAAGGATAAGTTGGCAAACCTCTGACTAGCTTAAAGAATGCCAGCTCCTGATGATTTTTGAGTTGTACTGAAGTTTGGAGTAGGCCTTGGCACCAGGAGGATGAGTGTTGATAAACCTGTGTTTAGAACCTAAATGTTCCTTTCAGTGTCATGTATGGATGCCCTTCCTTTAGATATATAGGGAATTTAGTTTAGTTTTCACAAAGGAAAACCACAAATTACTAACAGGGTACTGAAGTCATTAGCTAACAGCCTCAATTAGCATAACAAACAAAATGCAGAATAAATGCAGGAAGAGCAAGACTGACTTAGCCTTGAATCTTCTGCTGTGTCTGTATTACTGTGCTACAAGGCTTCATTAAGTAGACCTGACAGACAACTGGAGACTTAAAGTGTTAAAGAATAAAGTCCATTTTAATCTCTTTGGGGGAAAAAAGCCACCAACTTTTGGAACTGAGATAGTAATTAGGCTGAAACAGCATAGAATTAGCCCCACTTAATGTGGAATTTAATTACTTCAAAGCAATTAAGTTAACATGGAGTCTGCTCAGCTTGGGGAAGGGTTTAAGTATAGGGATTTTTGTCAAAAATGTTAATTCACTCTCTGGGCTATAACTTGTTAATTTAACATAACTTTCTTTTTGCAGTTTGTCATCAATTCAAAGACAACTAGTTTTCTCTAAATGAAATAGCTCATCTTGGTAGAAAAAAAAGTCACACTGGCTGGATTGAACTTTGGTTCCTAGTTAGCAACAGCCAGATAAGACAACATCCCCTCCTTTATTGCATTTGAGATTTCCAGCCATTTGCTTTGGAAGCTTGTTTACTTCCTCTTAATTACCTAGGAATTGCCAATAACTGCAGCACAGCTACCAGGAAAGCAGCTTGGGATTAAGGAAGAGATGGAGTCATTTTCCTCTGATCAGGACACTACAAAGAACTTTCCCCTCCCCACAACAGGTGGGTGCCCTGTGCATCTTGTGGATATTGACTCAAATCAATCTTTCACCATGGTTAAAGGAGGAAAGACACAAGACCACTGCTGGTGGAGCCACACGGGTGTCAGGAAAGCACTGGGCAAGTGGAAGGCCACTTTGTGTGGAGCTGCTGAATTTTTCATTTGAAGCAAGGATAGGGATGAAGGAATCCAGGATTTAGTGGTCTGGTGCTACCATCCTTTGTGCAGTGGAGAAGAGGACATTGCTGGTCACAAAGTGGCCTTGGCTGTAGACAAGGTGAAGGTTTGGGGTCAAATCTGGGGACTCCAGAGCAAGGGCCAGTCCAATGCTCCCTGTTTGCCCTGGCTGTGTTTTTTGGTGCTGATTGCACTTGTTGCTTGGAGAAAGATTCTCACAGAGCAGCTGCACAGGAGTCCTTCAGTGCCTTGAGCTTCTCCTGCAAGTGCAAGCCCAGCCTTGGCAGTGGCTGCTGCTGCAGCTGGTGTGGGGCTGGTGGAGCATGGGGTGCTCCCTCTCATTTATCAGCGAGCAGGGGAGGCTGATGGGCCATGCTAGGATGTTTGATTTCTGATTTTTCAAGCTGATTTCTTGTCCATTGCCTGAATTTCAGAAAATAAATTTATGCTCAAAACGCCTTGCTTTGGGTACTAGGAGGGATTAAGTGCCATCCTTTCCTCCCTCAAGAAACCCAAACCCACAGTGCTGCTTTAATCACTTTTTGCTATTTGACTGTGAAGCAGAGGACATTGTATTTTTAGTGGCAGCTTTAGTTTCAAAGCGTGTTGTGTCAGGGTCTCCAGAATCTTTTGAACTTGTGGCTTCTGTTTTCTGCTGGCACAGTAGGTTTAAATGTGGCAGTAAAGAGTAGTAACATTTTAAGTTGGAAATGTCTTTAAAATGTGGTTTGGGCATATATTTTTCAAAGGAGGAACACAAGTTCACATTTGTGTTTCCACTGATAGACCATTTTCAAAGATTGTTCAGTTTATGGATAAGATTTCCAAGTTTCTCCTGCTGGGTTTTCACTAAGCAGGTTAATGGTGTGTATTACTCAGACAGATTGCAGTGAAAGTGCAAAGAGACCCAAAGAGATCTCATCATCCTTAACTTACTGTGAAAACATTTGCATGCTGGTGGCTACATGTGTGAAGTTGGGATTTAAAGGGAAGAAGAACTGAGCCCAGCTGGCTGTGCCTTTCTTCAGAAGGTGATTGCACTTTTTTGTCCACAAACCATGAACAGAGAAGTGGTGGCTGTAATTTTCCTCCTTAGCCTCTTACATGTCCAGTTAGGAAAGGCAAAAGCTATTCTAAAAGTCCAGTTTTCTGGCCTGGATTTGAACAATGGGCTGATAGTCCTGACCTCTTTCTTGTTCTCCTTTTTTCTTGGAGGGGAAGGAACTAGAACCTTTGGGATGCATCTGTGTTTTAATGCCTGTTGACTGCAAAAACCTGCTGTGTTGGTGGTTTTGTCGCTCTGCAGTGAGCGGTGTTCACAGGACACTGTGGGTGAAGGCTTAACCTGGCACACCCTTTTGCAGAGTATTTAGGGAATAACAGGCATGCCAAGGCCACCTTTGGAGGCATTTGGGGTTTGTTTTACCAGTGCACATAATCTGTTATGCAGTGTATTCATTGTACTGTGAATGAAAGAGCGGATGTTT